TCCAGTAACTACTGAAACGTTGTTGAATGATGAGACCGAGGATCAAAATGATACTGGTATTAAATTTGCTCCAGGTGAGAATAACAGACCGATATCTGTTCTAATGGACTTGAAAGTCGATGAGTTAACATTTCCAAAAATCTATTGTGGAAAACAACGAAAAATTAAAGAAAATGTCAAACTAACGTATGCTAAAATTGCTAAGTCAGAATTAAGAATGTTTGATAGAAGATGTGGTAGAGTGTCAAAACTCTTTTTCACATATAAGAAACTACAAACGAGAAAATTCGTTGATGCTATATCAATAAATTTGCGAAAAACAAAAAATACGAAAAACGTAACTGTTAACCAAATGCTTAATCGAGATTATGTAAATGGATTAGTACATAATGATGATGCTTTTGCATTCTTAAGATTTGATCGATCTTCACCAGCATTCTGGGAACTAAAAAAGAAAGAACTTATGGCCATGAATAGGCAATTAGAATGTGCAACAATATTTTTAACATTATCAGCTGCTGAAACACAGTGGTCAGAACTTCTTGTCATATTGACTCAAGTGTTAGAAAATAAAGTAATAACATTAGAAGAAGCACAAAATTTGAGCTATGAGAAGAGATGCGAATTGATAAGACAAGATCCGGTAACATGTGTTCGCTATTTTGAACATAAATTAAAATGTTTATGGGAAATATTATCAGCTCCTTGTGGTCCATTTCAAGGATATGAACTAGTTGATAAATATGTCAGAACTGAATTTCAAGTTCGTGGTTCACCACATGTTCATGCTTTATTGTGGTTAAAGAATGCTCCGAAATATGACAAAAATAATCCTGAATCAATTGAAAGATGTGTAGAATTTATCGATAAATTGATTTCGGTTAGTTCTCAGCCAACCGAATGTTCTGAAGAACTTATCAGTTTACAACGTCATAAGCACTCACATACTTGTAAACAACATTTAAACGGTTGTATAATATGTCGTTTTGGTATTCCATATTTTCCGATGAGTAAAACGATGATATTAGAACCATTTAGTGACGATGAAAAGCTCTCTAAAAAAGAACGTGAAGAGATAAGTAAGAGTAGACAGAATGTAAAAGAAGAACTCGACAGAATATCAAAAGATAAAGATAATTCATTAACTTTTGAAGAATTTTTGAAAAAAATTAATATGAATGAAGAACAGTATATTAAAATGATTCGAGCTGGATTGAAAAAGGCGAAAGTATTCTTAAAGCGTGCTCCAAATGAGACCCGAATCAATGCATACAATCCAATGATAATGTCATTGCACAGAGCAAATATGGACATTCAATATATTCTTGATCCATATGCATGCCTAAAGTACTGTGTTGAATACATCAACAAATCTGAAAATGGAATGTCTAAGCTTCTAAGGGAAGCATTGAACGAGCTAAAAAAAGGCAATCACACAGTCAAAGAGCGTCTTAGAGTTATTGCAAATAAGTTTTTGAATTCAAGTGAAATTTC